GATTTCGCCGGACTTGTCGTACAGATCCACAGATAATCCGGCGATCGATGGATCCGTTTTGGACAACTGGTTCAGGAAATAAGCCGAAGAACTGCCACCGACTCCGCAGCCGATGATAGCTATGAAGACATGGATTCAAAAGCGGTTAACAAGTGATGGATTGGTGTCTATTGTCTCACCGATTGTCTTGTGGTCATCGGCGGTGTGGCTGTCGGTGTCTGTAGTCTTGTTGAGCACACAATCAAATGATATGAATATTACGATTAAAAAGACATTAATTAATGAAAACAATTGTTTTAAGTGTGAATCCATTATCATATGAATGACTGCTTTTAATCACTCATTCAGTCAATGATTAGTATTTTGTTTACGATTTAAAGCGCGATTCAAATATCAATACAAATCTCGTTGTTATGGCGATTGCTATGACTTTTCTAAACAACATTGAAATTAGCGCTTAATTTAAGTGATGTATTTGTGAATATCTATGATTTTGTTTATTATGAACTTGTTTATAGTGAATAACATTGTCTACTTACATATTCATGAACTGGATTGAATTCATTGAAATCTACATATTGGGGTAATTTGACCAGGGCTATTTTGTGATGTATGCGTGTTTATTGACTGCCTTATATTTTTATTGCATAAAGTTATATTTGTGAACTTATCAAATTTTGTGAAATAATATTTTCAAATGAATGTACTACCCTGGTCACGCAAATCAATTGTCATTAACAGCTTTTTAAAAAGTTATATCTAATATTTATTTACTAAATTTTGCGAATATATAATTTAAAACTGTTGAATTTTGTATGTACCTGCTAATTATAAATTTCAAAGCAAATATGAAATAATAAGCGATTGTGTCATACAATTTGGGAACAATAAGTAGTGAATAGTATCATAACTGGTAGTTACAAACTACTGTACTCTATGTGTATTTTATTTACCTTATAATTTCATAGTCTACTAGAAGTTTGCTTAATTGAGTGATCCATGGGCTCAAATTGATATGCATTGTAATTAAAACCATTAACACATATTTAAATGAATGAATTCAAAAGCGTATCATTTTTTTATTGAAATAATAAAACACTACTTTTGATAACAATTCTCAATACAAGTATTCATAACAATAAATATATTACGGT